ACAAAATGATGAAGAATCTACTAGAAATCTTAAATTCATTCTGACTACTTTTGAGCTAAAAATAAAAGTGTTATCTATCAAGAGATATTCACATGTGCCCTGGGGGAAATGCCTCTGAAATATCTTGGATTGTCTGTCTCTAATAAAAGAATTAGAAATAGCATGTGGAAAAATATGACTAAAAAAATTGAAAAAAGATGTGCCTGTTGGCAGGGCAGATTGCTTAATATTGCTGGCAGAGTTACATTGGTACAATCTTGTCTTACAAACATACCCATCTATATGATGTCTTCTTATCTTCTTCCTGCTGGAGTAAAGAAAAAGGTAGATTTCTACAGAGCTAGGATGGTGTGGCAGGCTGAAGAAGATAAAAAGAAATGTCATTTGGTCAAATGGAAGACATGCTGTCTTCCAAAACAGCAAGGGGGCCTAGGGGTTACTAATTTGGAACTCCTCAACATTGCCTTTCTGGCCAAGTGGTTGTGGAAATTAGAAGAGGAAGATGGGCTTTGGCAAGATATAATTACAGCAAAGTATGTCAAAGACAAATGTTTGTCTGGGGTTAAACAAAAAAATGGAGATCCCAATTCTGGTCTAGTCTTCACAAAATTAAAATATTTTTTACCCTCATGTTAAAAAAAGACTTGGTGATGGTAAAAGTACTAGATCTAGGGAAGACTGGTGGGTAGGAGACAAACCTTTAAAATATGCTTATCCTTCACTCTACTTCATTAGTAATGATCACAGCATTTCTGTTAAAGAAGCCATTGACAAAGGATGGGATCTCTTCACTTTTAGAAGATCTCTGTTTGGGGATACTGAACAACTGTGGAAAAGTCTCAAAGAAAGATGTGAGGAGGTCTTGATGTATGAAGGGAGAGATAAACCTATGTGGATGATGTCTGCTGATAGGAAATTCTCTATAAAGTCTCTCTACCTCCATCTCATCAAAACGGACGTTGGCTTCCCGCAAAAATTTCTGTGGAAAATAAAAGTTCCAGTGAAAATTAAATTTTCTTATGGTTGTTGAACAAAAAATATATTCTAACTAGAGACAATTTGTTGAAGAGAGGATGGAGAGGTGATAAGTAGTGTGTCCTATGTGGGAAAGAGGAGACCATTGATCATCTCTTCTTCTCCTGTTCGGTTGCTAGGCTCGTCTGGAACTTTGTTGGGTGTGCTTTTGATCTAAAACAGGTTCCGGGCGACCTGAATGATTGCTTTGGGAATTGGCTTAACAAATTCCAAAAAAATGATAAAGAGCTGGTTTTGATGGCACTTCTACCTTACTTTGGGCGATTTGGATTTGCCGAAATGACATTATTTTTTACAGGAAACAAAATAATGACCCAATGGAGATAATTAAAATGATGTGCAATTAGATTACTGATTGGGCTGTTTTGCAGAGAAAAGACCCAGAGGAAAAAATATTGATGCTGGGAGCAAGGCTCATCGAGCAGGTGGCAAGTGAAATCTACAGGGAAGCTCAAGGATGGCGCTTTGGAGTACTGCGGCTGAAGATGTGATGGCACGCACCTATGGGGGGAGACTCTCACATAGTTGTCTCCCGGACGCATGTCTTTCTTTTGGATGTAATAGATGAGTGTATCGTTTTCTCCTTTTATAAAAGATGTAGTCGCTGGGGTGTGGCCGGATTACCTTTTAGCTGGTGTTGGTCAGTCGTGCGTTCTTTAAACATGTAATGGATTCTGATGGTTTCTCTAATGGAAATCGGAGGGGAAACCCTCTTTTGCTCAAAAAAAATCAAACTGCCAATAAACGCTCAGATAATGTGGTCCGGACATTTCTGACGCCATGTATACCCGCCGATAGATCCGCACGTCCGAATTCCGCCAAATCGGAAACACACTCATGGGGGTTTGGGGGAGTCCGGACACCCGCTATGACTTCGACACACCCGAACCACCAAAACCCTCCCCTTGGAGCCCTTTTCTCTCACTTTGTCCCTTCCCTCTTGCTCTGCATCTGCACCCATCAAGACCGTCGTCGCCTCTACACCACTCCAGCCGTCGCCCAATTCTTGACGGACCACCGCCGCTCCACCCAGGTGCATTATACTTTGCCGCCGTTGCACTCCCCGGATCTGTTAGCAGCATAGGTATCGTCTGTCGTCGTCCATGGCAAACACCACACCCAACAGCCAAATGCCATGGAGATTTATTTATTTATTACTTTCTCCTTGTTTAATATGAAGGAAGCACGATGGCGGCATACTCGGTGATGGCGGGTGCATTGTTGTGTGATGCATGGTTGGCCACAAGTGTAGGGTTTGTAGGCATTAAGCAAAAGGGAACGATAGTTTGGCAACAAGTGAATTCTTGGTTTCATGAGCACAAGCACTACACGCCCTATAATTTGGATGTGATCCATGATCGCAATGCCAAATCACTACTCCATCGATGATACACCATTTCAAAATGTCATCATAAATGTGCTTGTACAAGTGGCAAGAATGTGACTAACGGGCACGTCAATCATGGAGATCGTAAGTTTTGCTTCTTGTTACTCTACATGTTGATCATTTTTTTCATTCACTCAATGCAACTTGATGGTCATGCCATTGTATAGCTCGCATGCGCTGCCACGATGTACCGAAGGACGGAGGGCAAGCCCTTCACTTTGATGCGTGTTTTGATGAAGCTTGAGGGGAGGCCATCTAGGTGAACAACATGCGGCAATGAAGAAATTCAAGCTCGAGGAGAGAAAACTTGAGATTAAGGCTGCTTTTGAGGGGTATGGTTGAATCTGAGATCGATGGATTTTGAAAAATTCTAGAATATCCAGTGTTCTTGTTAGGATTTAAAGGTCTTTACATTTCAGCCCCTAACTCGAACCACCTACTCAAATTTGCCCCTAATTCCAAAGTTTGCTTAAATTTGTCCCTCTTCCGTCAAGTGTGGTTATAGAGCACACTTCAAAATTAAGGACAAATTTGAGTAGCGGGTTCCAATTAAAGGCACAAATGTAATTGACCCTTAAATGTATGGTTAAAGTGCTATCAATCGATGATTCAAAGTGAGATTGCATGGCAGACATTTGGTTTAATTTATTTTTATCTATTTTTGAAAAAGAGACAGACATTTGATACCACTGTCCGCTGTGCACAGCATTGGAGACAAGTGGGGAGGCGATGTAGGCCAGCAAAGAAAACAGACAGGATTTGCCGAGCACAGTTCATTTCCCTCTTCGTGCAAGGAAAGAGAGATTTCATTTCACCAAATAGAGTTCATTTACACGGGGTTAGCCTAAATGACTTGGACCAAAAGGACTTTCAAACCTACTCCCTCCGTTCCTAAAGTTAGTACAAAGTTGAATCGGCTATTTTAGAACGGAGGGAGTATGCGACATGCAAAGTTTGCCAACGTGCTGCATGGCTCACCCTATATAAGCTTAAAAAATAAACTCTCTTCCTGCCGCTCAGACGCTCTTGAACAAGGCTCGAGCATCCGATCATACCACTGCCCTGATTCCGACTGGCTAATCACTGGCACCTCCACCCACCCGAGCACTTCGGCCTGTCCTTCCATGCACACAATGATTTCGAACTCCATAGCAATATAAGCCATGGATGTCATGTTAAACTCATTTGTAAGCCGCGGATGGCAGGTTAAAATCATTTGTAAGCCACCTCATCAGATATGAAGCGGTCACCAATGTCGTCTACTTACAATATAAGCATCACATCTGGAATGGATGCTACCATGTGCAGTTCCATAGCTTCGCTGCATATCAAGGGGAAACAGGATAAAGGAGCTCACAGAAAGGAAGAAGTTCAACTCGTTTCCAACAACAGAAATAATCGCCATGAAGTTCACTCATGAGGTGAAACAATCGCCAGTGAAGCTTGGTTGAGTAGTTCCTCTGCATATCAGCAGGTAAATAGAAAAACTGAGCTCGTACAGAGAAAGAAGAATAAGTAAGCCACAGCAGGTGACACATCATACTGCACTTTAAGCCACATAGGCAACATGTGTAACCACATCAAACAGTGCTTACATCTAAATCACCTACAGCAATGCAATGGCCCCCTGCACTGCAAGCCACTGGTTGGTTTAAATCAGCTAGCTTTCAAAATTAGCCACTTCCTGAAATTTGGGTTCCGCACCCCAAGTACACCGCACTTCATGGCTCGATAAATTCTAGTACTTCCATGAACAAGCTACACAAGCGAACAAGGTTAACATCTTCAGTAGTTTTAAGCCATCTGACTCAATGCCACAGCTCTTATCATTCTGAATGATGTGACTAGCAGATGGTTCTCGTATATGTTGTGAAATTCTCAGTAAAAACGGGTCACTGACAAATTTGTAACTCAGCAAATGCACCATCAATGAATATTACAAATGGTAACAGTTGAAAAATCAAGTAGCAAAACTTTCCTCGTACAACCAACAAGAACAGTAAGCCATACCAGGAAATCACAGCAGTTGCACCTCAGCAGCAAGTAATCAAAAATGTACAGCTCGACTACTCAGGTGCAAGAGGTAGCCAATGCTGGATCCAAAGTGAGGATGGATGCATGTGGCTGCCATACAAATACTGCTCAAGCAAACAAGTCATATCAACAACCAACAATTATAGATAAGTTTAAAGATACATGGCAGATTTCTTGGGTTTCTTTACCCATTTAGGTCCCAACATAATACAGATCCAACTGACATGAGAAACAACAAATAACATAATAGTTCACATTTTTTGAACTGAGAATACTGCAACCCCATCCCTATGACTAGGAGAAGTACTACAGCGACATTAGTGGAGGCAATATCCTATCAGGAAGATAAGGCATGGAACCTAACCATCAGTGACAGGCCTCCCTACGATGAAGAAAACAACAGAACAACCAGACAGATACGCACATGCACTACCATCAGCCATATTTACATGCATGTAATGGCAAGTACCCAGATGACACTACGGAAGGGCTGAGACAACAATGGCTGCACTGGCCGATGTTTCATTCATTGGAGCTTAGTATGCTAGTAGGACGGGTATGGAACTGGTTGTCTGTCAGCTCGACGGCTAACATCATTCATAACAGAACCAAATACACGTCTACTATACTCATATGTACCATCGTTTAATCCTCTACTTGCTACCCCACTTGATGCTGGAGAAAAAAAGGAATCGTCAGATTTAATACAAAATTCACATTAAATATCTCATAATTCATATGGCCAAAGAAACTCTCTCACCTTGGGAATGGAAATCATAAGAATGATTTGGAGAAACACCATGGCCTGCAATCCTACCGTTTATCACTCTATGTTGTGACACAGGAGTATCACCAAATCTCATTGATTGAGGTGGATTTGATAGTGGTATAGGGTTCATTTTAGGTGTTACAGGAACATTGACATTTGAAGAGGCCTTGTCTTGCCCAGAAATCTGTCAAACATAAAGGGCATAATTTCAGGGTCGAGTCTTTTGCTACTGCTTCGCAAATAAATATATAAATAGAAACCTAGTAACTGCAAGAACCTCAGGTATTGGATTGGGCCCAGAATCAACTATTCACAGAGAATGTAAGTCACCATACCATAAGAACAACACACTGCAATCTATACTATAACAAATAAAATAACCAGGGAGAAAAAAGAACGCACCGCAAATTTAAGTGTTCTATTGTGAAGCCGAACAAGGCCAGAAAACAGCCTAACAGCATACTGGGCAATCTCCTCTGTTTCATACTCAGCAAAAGCAAAACCTTTGGGTCGACTAGTTTCCTTGTCACGGGGTATGTGCAAGTCTACTACACGACCTACCTGAATAAGAATCTCATACAAAACCCTCTCCGAGACCTTTTCATCCAAGTTACCTATTTAACAAATACACAGTTGAAGAATTAATACAGTACTGGTGATTACTTCGTTATATTTAGGCATGCAAAAAAGAGAGGCAAAGTGGAACAATAACAATCATTGGAAAATAGCAAAATTAGAGTACTGCAACAGTGTAAACCATGAAAAACATATATTAAGGCATGCAAAAAAGAGAGGCAAAATGGGGCAAAAACAATCATTGAAAAATAGCAGAGCTAGAGTACTGCAACAGTGTCAACCATGAAAAAACATAGATCTGTCAACTAGCAGAACTAGAGGATCTGCAACAGCCTAACAGTAAACAAAACCCCTAAATACCCTGATACAAAAGCATGTTCATTTCTATCTTACAACAATGTCTTTCAAGGACCATAGTTAGTGAAGCTGTGGTAAATTCCTCTCGGTGACACAAAGTTGTCAGCTACTAAAATAGGCCCTCTATGGCTAGCCCCATAAAGCATAACATTAATCCATGATTGTCATAAATCTCACAACAATCATTCACACATCTAAACCCTTGATAATGCATTTACTAAGCAGACTCAATTTGCTATTAGATTTGGTTTTGCGGGCATATGCTTATGCTGATTTTCACTATGTGCATGCTTACATAATTTCAATTGAAAGCACCACACAGGGCCCATAACACCAAGAAATGATTGTTGCACAAGGAAATCAGCATGTTCAAGTTAATTAACCTGCCAATATACAAGTAAACATAGTACAGCGAACAATTCATATTCCGAATCTAGGAGCTAGGTACAGCAACACATGAGGCAATCACCGACTGTACAAGCTTAATAATCAATTAATCCATAGAGTACTATCTAAAAGCTGGAGTATCAACACATGAGTACTATCTAAGCTACGGTGATAGAGCGTAAATCTACGCCAGCCAAATCGAAAAGGGGGCGAAATCCCGCTTCATCAAAACATCTACAGCGCGCAATCTGGTTGAACCTGCTTGCGGGGCAACGACAGCAATTCCGAAAAGTAACAACTTAGGGCACATCAGTAGGAGCACCGGCCGCAAAGGCGTCAACTTTTCGGACGAAACAGAGCGAATTCCCCCCTCAATCCCAAGCCGAACCACCAGGACGGCCACAAAAAATTGGGGGAAACTCGCAGGAAGAACCGCACCGCACGATTCGGGCTGGGATCTCACCTATGTAGACGGCGCAGCCCGGATTCCTCGCCATAGGGACCGGATCTGGGGAGGCGGACGCGGAGGAAGGAGTCCAACCGGGGGAAGCAAGGCGGGCGAAGCGACTACCACACGACGACTGCGCGACGCACGAGCTCACAGGGAAGGGGGTTGGTGGCTCACGGCGTTTGGGCGCTATTTCTAGCAGGTGGTTTGGAGACGGTACCGTTCGGCTTCGGCTGCCGACGCCGCGACCGAGGCGGCTCGGTGGACTCGGGCGGCTGAGCAGTGAATGGGCCTAGGTATCGGTGGGCGCTTGTTCGCTGCTGTTAACAAGATAAAATCTTACCACACCGGTCCTTGTGGAGATCCATGACATCTTCCTCCTCCGCTTGGCGGCGGCGGCGCGTCACGAGTGAAGCTTGTTGCCGGCATTGGACCTCCGATACATCATCTTATCCAAGGACACATTGTTGTCAGGGAGTCGGTCGGAGCTAGAACATGTCGAGGACAACGACCTGGGAAACAGACAATCGTTGCAAAGAAGAAGGCAGTGAATGGGTTGGACGACCACCCAGATCCGACTAGACATATTCAGGGAGATATAACCAGACACATTCAAGGAGAGATAATCTGACAAGTTCCTCGGCGACACCAAAATTGTCTGAATGTCGCCTGTCAAAGAAGGAGCCCGAGGACCAAGGCGCGAAGCGACAGCATCCACTCCGTTGGAAGACACCTTTGAAGACCACCTACATAACACGCAGACACAAATCAGATCCACTACTCCGTAAGAACAGTGACTGGACTATCCCCACCATCCTCTAGGCCGCCGATGAGATCGTCGTCGACGAGTGGGCCAAGAGTCGGGGAAATCTTATTTGGATTTGCATAGTTCTGCCATCACCACCATAGTGTCACGTTGTGGAACCGAAATCTAATCCTAAGAGATCTAACGACAGTGTTGCAATGGAGATCTCGGGTCCCCACCCCCTCCTGTCGCCGGAGTGGCAATCGGTGGAGGGGGCCTGTGGCCTCGTTGGTGAGGGAGCGGCGGAGTTGTGGCGGCTAGGGTTTCAAGAGTGGGTTCACTTGGAAAAAGAAAGAACCCCAACGATGCTTACCTTTTTATAGTTATTTCCTAGGGAATTTGACGGGATCCGGATGCCAGGGCAGCGGCCCAGAGCTATGGTAAGGTGGATAGAGATGAAAATGAAATGGAAATTTTTCATTCGGCCAAATATGGAAGAAACCATTGAAATATGGAAGAAAAGGATAAATATGAAAACGAAATGAAAAATTATGGAACAAAAGTGAAGCGCAAAGCTTCTTGCATAAAAGGAAATGCAACCAAAATGATGTTTTTCCGCGAAACACTAACAAAAATGGAATTTCCATATCCGCACTTGTTTCTTACATAGAAAGGAAATTGGAGCAAAACGGCCCAATCCTACCCAAAAACCTAAGCATTCGCCTACTCTGGAGATCCTTTCTGTTATCTGATTCCTTTAAACATAATACCTTGTTATGTTGACAAAATTGTGGCCAAATTTTCGAACTCATGCACAATAAAATACTTGATGTCCTACAAGTGCACATGGTTGAGTTGTAGCCTTTTTGAATTAAGAGTGTCGATCCCACAAAGAGATGGGAAATGTATTTGCCTCTTATAGAGGTTTATCGAGTTCAAAGCAAAAGCAATGCAATAGTGAAAATACCGCAAGAGTGTTGTGACAAGAATTAAAGTGTCCGGGAATTACTCCTTGTAGGAATAAAGTATGTCTACCAGAGCGGGGGTGAATGGGAGTTTTAAAGTTTCTTTCAGAACCTTCAAAACTCTCAGAACACAGGATAACCGATAATAGTGAGTGAAGGTAAACTACCTAACTAAAACTAAACACAGTCATTGATGAAAATCACACGATTGTAATCATACAGGCAGGGTAATTCGAATGAAATAGAGTGAAGTAATAACCAGTAAAGCTTGGTGGAGACGAGGAATTTGATAGACCAATTCGTCCTTCCACACAAGGACTACGTCTGGTTGGAGGTGTTGTGATTTAACACAGAAGATAAACTCTACTCGCCTATTCTCCTCGACAATTGATTCGTCAACCAATGCCGATTACTCGTGGTAGATACTTGAGGTGATCTCCGAACCTTCATAAACTTCTTCTTCGAGAACCACAATCACTCTTGGTCTCTGAAGAAAATGACATCTAACCATCTAGGTTTGTCAGATTCCATTAACACAATGCATCTATTCCAAAGATGACAATCATATCAAGATCACAAAACATTGAGACATACATGAGGTTATATCCAAGGGACTCAGCAAGCATCACCTTTTCCATGTGTCGATCCTTCAAGATAGCAATCTTACCTATACTCAATACCTTGATTTTTCCTTTAACAGCGTAAGTGATATGCTTCAGATGAGACGAAGTAAGGGGGGCATTGGTGAGGAGATTCCTATCACCAATCATATGATTCATGCAGCCATTGTCCAGGACCCACTCATTGGGTTTTGGTGTGTCATCATGTAGAAGCATTAGTCTGACCTACAAATTCATATACTTCAGAGTGAAGAATATGATGATAAATTTCGTAAGTGAATTTCATCAACAGATTATAACTAGCAGCATAATGGATGTGTGAAATGAAAAACTCATTTTATCACGATTAGCTTTGATCCCAACAAGCATATGTCAAGTCTTCAGCAAATTCATCAGATAGTTGTAGTCAGGGGCGGAGCCAGGACAAAAAACTAGTGGGGGCAGAGGTATACAATTTTTTTTTCTAGAAACATGTATACGAACTAATGGGTAGATAATTTCAAGGACTAACCACACAAGCATACATGTAGTGTCAACGAAGCAAAATCATATAATTTATTATAAGATAATGTCATCACACGCATAACTATGATATGTTCAATGCCAAAATAAAAGTAAACTAACCACTTAAGACAGAATAACTTGAGAAATATGGGTATGACATTCCTTTTTGTTGCTATGTCTCTTATTTCTAGCCTTCAAGCTACATGAAAAAAATCATTTTTAAACATAGACAGAATGTAAACATTGATAGATGAAAATAAAAGATTGAGTACATTACCTCCTCCGTTTCATCCCAAGACAATTTTTTGCATGAAAGAGTTTAACTATCACCTCATTAGGAATAGTATCCAACATTTCTTTTTCCACAAAGCAAATAAGGCTATTGCTCAAATAATCATCACACATCTTGTTATGCAAAGCATTCTTCACAAGCTTCATCGTCGAGAAGCATCTCTCAACAGTTGAAGTGAAAACAGGAAGAGTCAGTACTAGCTTTAAAAGTCGATAGACAAAATGATAAGAAAGATGCTTCTTTGTAGACACCATCAGTTTAGCCAGATCATTGATAGTTTCCAACTAGCAAATCTTGTATGATTGCATACATTATCTATGTAGAGGCAAAGCTCTTTCTCAAGATGGTTTAGGTCGTTATCACTAAAGTCATTAGGATAGAACTTAACCAGCTTCATCAGCTTCTCATCATCATAGTGACTAAACTGACAACTTGGGTTGAAAGCAGACATACAACAAAGCAACTCATTGTTTACCTCATTGAATCTCCGGTTTAGTTCTTCTACCAATTAATACAAAATAGCAAAAAAATAGCCGACCTGATAATGATGCTCATTATTAATGCTAGTCGTTTGCCTTAGCTTCTTTGGATTTACATACTCCTTTTCCATGTCCATAACAAAAATATCATTCTTGTTGCAAAAAGAACGTACCTTGCTCAGGAGAGAATTACATTCATGCTCAGATCTAAGCTTATCTAGCTCTCGCTTAACAAATTCCACATTTGATATAGCTTTAACAATGTCCATACCCTTTATTTCAAAGGTTTTTGATAGCCCATTTGTTAAAGCTAATATAATCATCATCATATGTAGAAAGAATGTAGAATCAAATGAGTGGAAATATTTTAAAAGACCACTAGCTTGACGTTGCTTAGTAGCATCTGAACCCTCTTCCTCCACATATTCTAGTACTTTTATCATAGAGGGAAACATCTTAGACAAACTCAACAAAGTGGTATAGTGAGAATTCCATCTAGTATCACCTGGTCTCTGAAGAGAAAGCTCATGGTTTAATCATGATCCTGTAGCAATCTCTCCCTTACCAATCGCTTTCCTTAGTTCTTCTCAATGGTTCTCTCTAAGTTTATCCTTTCTCTTGCAAGATGATCCAACGACAGTCACTAACAATGATATCATATCAAAAAAATCGCCAACATCAAGTATCTTTTTTTCAATGGCCATAACAACCAAGTTAAGTTTGTGAGCAAAACAATGTACAAAAAAAGTTAAATTGTTCTCCTTATAATCTTGGCTTGCAAACCATTAAACTCACCTGCCATATTGCTCGCTCCATCATAACCTTGTCCTCTCACTTGTTGCAGACTCAAACCAAGCTTTGCAATTATAAAATCAATTTTAGACTTGAGATAAGCAGATGTTGTTTCCTCCACATGAAGAACACCAACAAACCTCTCATTTGACAGTCCATGTGTACCAACGTAACGTATAACCACTGCCATTTGCTCTTTGTCAGAAACATCACGACATTCTTCAACTAATAAGCTGAACACGCCATTGTCAAGCTCCTTCAAAATACAATTCAATACTTCTTCTACAAACCACTCGATAATATCCTTTTGAATTGTTGAAGACAACAACTGATTAGTAGCTGGGGCATGTTTGAATGCCTTGGCTATAACATCATTGTGCATAATTGTATAGTCCATCAACTCCCGATAGTTTCCTTTATTTGTAGACTCCTTTGACTCACCATGGCCCCGAAACGGTTGTCCTTGATGCAACAAGTATCTGCATACATCAATTGCAGCATTTAACCAGATAAGATGCTCATTTTTCTCAAGTTCACTCTGTTTATGCAAGGCTACAAGGATTGATTGTTCTGTTTCCATTAGATCCTCACCATTCTTAAGTGCATTGTTATGAAAACTATCACGATCACCAACATGAGTCGCAAATCTCTC